TTGGAAGCCCAAATTACCCCTTGGATGCCTACAGATGTTCAGGTTTAACTTGAGTGGCCTTTGCATACATCAATCTGGCTGAAATCACCATGTAGCCAAAGAGAGAAAGCAGGAGGAGAGGCAGGAGGTTTCAAAGAATAAGTGTCTCTGTTTGTTTTCTCTGGAAATGTGTATCTCTTTGCTCACCCTGGACTGTTCTGTTGATAAAACAAGCTGACGTAGGCGGCATCTCTGACATGTATTTAACTAAGACCGTCTCTGTAATTAATGGGGGGATAAATTGTGGTTTAATTACTCAGAAAGCACCTTGGGTGAAAGATTCATGGTAATTGTTGTGTATCCTCTTGAAGGATTCACAACACGGGCAGCAAACATGGTAGCAATAAAATACTGGTTGAGTGGCAGCCAGTTCTGTGGAGTTTTCCTTACCAGGATTCTGCCACTGGAGAGGGAACGTGAGCTGCTGTCCTCTAGGGCTGGATTTCATTTGTCTCTGGAACGCACACAAATTCCCTCTCCCCCATCTCCAGCACTACTTCCACATCTTGCAGCACTCGCTAACTTTGTGATTTCCCAGCCTAATAAAACAATGCAGATCAATACACACTGGATTAAGGTGGCAGCAAGTTGTTAAATCCATGCTGGAAAATATCAGATGGAAGTCATTACCACTTGCCTCCCAATTAACATTTGGACCCATATTGGCTTGTTCTGCATGATACGTTGCCAACCCTGAAATCCTCACTCTGGTTTTATCCGTGGCCAGTTTCATGAGCAACTTAAAGAAACATGAGATAGCATGACCATTCAGGTTTATAGCATTTATAACCAGGCTTGAGGCTGCCAATTACCGGTAGTTTCTGGTTTTGACTTACAAAGACCTAAATGGCCCAGGACCACAGTATCTCAGTGACTTCCTCTCCCTATATGAACCGACCCATACACAGTAAGCATCGTCCGAGGCCCTTCTTCATGTGTCTCCTTCATGAGAGGTCCCTCTTGTGCAATGCTCTCCCCAGGAGCGTTTCTTACATATCTTTAGACACCAGGCAAAACCATTCCTCTTCTCCCAGGCCTTCAGCTAATTAAACAATTTATTGTCTTTTAAGCTTGGGGGGGGATTGTTTTTGTTCGTCACTATGTTATGTATTTTTGTTTTTATATTGTAAACCACCCTGTGACCCTCGGCAGCGTAGAGATGATGATGATGATTATGCTTCTATGAATAAATAAATGTTTAGCTTGCATGGCTTTCCATGCCAGTGAGGACAGAGGGTTTGGTTTCCCCCTTCTTCTCTACTGGATTTCCCTGCCAGCTACATTTCAGCATATGCATCTGTTTTTATCTGCCAGACCTAGATTGAGAACTGTCATGCAGCAGCTGAGGTCTTGTTCTGGAAAAACAGACGAGGGTCACATGGGCTAAAAGCAGAAGGCATGATCCCCAGTGGCCTGGCGTTGTATTAGGAAAATGAGAACTAAGGACCCCAGATCAGAGGCACAGCCTGAAGACAGGTTGAGTGTTGGCCACTGGCTTTGGCTGATGAGAACCAAAGGGACAGAGGCAGGGACGGAGGTCACATACCAGATACGGGTGAAATCATCTGTGCTTTTGTTCCATTAAACGGGTTGCTGAGGCTGAAAAACATAGCTTGGAGCTGGAGTTTTCTACAGTTTGCCAGGCCCCTGTTGGTCCCAAGTCACATGGGTCTGGCTGGCCGCATGTGGGTGGCAAAGCAGCAGAGCACAGATCAGGCCAGTAGTGCCCTCCAACTGAGAGCTGTCCTAGTGGTGTAAGGATAGAAAGCAGCTGGGATTTGCTGCCTAAGACTCCGGTGTCTTCAGAAACTCTGCATGGAAGCTAGCTCTCTTTTCAGGTTGGGCTTTCTGTTCCTTTACTGCTTTGGTTACCCCTCTTCTACCTTGTCTTTCTTTAAACCTACCCCCCCCCCCATGGAAGAAAGATACAGAACTTACAAGCATAACTGTCTCCTCTTTTCCAGAACTAAAGAAACAAATGGAGAGTGCCGAACTGAAAAACCAGCGCTTAAAAGAAGTTTTCCGGGCAAAGATCCAGGAGTTCCGCAAAGTGTGCTACAAGCTGACCGGCTACCAGATTGACATGACTACAGAGAACCAGTACCGGCTCACCTCGGTTTATGCTGAGCGCGGTGAAGACTGCTTGATCTTTAAGGCAAGTTTAATTTATACCCCAATGCATGTGAGGATGCTGTGTGCAAACATAAGCATTATAGGGCCCTCTTACTCCACTTGGTAATTTATTTGCTGAGATGGTAGTAGCAAAGACAACTTTCTTGTTGAATTTCACAGATGAATTTCACAGACAACTCTGTTGTCAGGAAGTGGGTGCTGGAGCAGGGTGACCATGCACTTCCGTGTCCACAGGGGAATGCTTGCAACTGACTACAGCAAACTGACATTGGTGTAGACCTGTAGGCTGCTCAAAAGGGTCTCTCTCGGGCATAGGAAGCTGCTTTTACTGAGTCAGACCGTAGGTCTATCTAGCCATACCGGCTGGAGCCATCATGTTGGGGGCGGGGAGGCTTCTCCCGTAAATTACAAATCTTATATCTTTGCATCTTTTTTATTGCGTCTTGGAAAAGGTCAGGATCTGAATGAGTTAAGCATCTGCCAGCAATCCCAGGGGACCTGGTGCTGTGTGGTGGTGTGCCCTGATCCATGTGCGGGGGTGAGGATGTTTTTGGTGGAATCCCCATGGCAACTGTAACTTGTGCTCCAGTTGTTAAGGTTGTGTTGGGGGGTGTTGCATGCTGCCTTCTGCTCCTCCCCAGAAGCTGGGAGCATTTTGCTATTGAAGACTGAGAACAGTTGCCAGTCAGGACGGAGAAACTGAGTTTTGCATAATGTCAACTTATTCCTGTTGTTGTTGTTGTTGTTGTTGTTGTTGTTGTTCTTCTTCTTCTTCTTCTTCTTCTTCTTCTTCTTCTTCTTCTTCTTCCTCCTCCTCCTCCTCCTCCTCCTCCTCCTCCTCCTCCTCCTCCTCCTCCTGCTAAATTCAAACAAATTGCTAGTGTTAGTAAGGGGATCATTTCTGACCATTTCCCTTTAGCAAACAGTGCCATGATTCTAATGCTTTGGGGTGTCACTTCTGTTATTTACTGAGCTACAGTGGTACCTCGCAAGACGAATGCCTCGGAAGACGAAAAACTCGCAAGACGAAAGAGTTTTTCGTTTTTTGAGTTGCTTCGCAAGACGAATTTCCCTATGGGCTTGCTTTGCAAGACGAAAAACGAAAAAAACGAAAACGTCTTGCAAGTTTGTTTCCTTTTTCTTAAAACCGTTAATACCCAGGGTGACTTCGAGGAGCAACTCATAGCATGCGGTGTGGTAGCCTTTTTTGAGGTTTTTGAAGACTTTGGTGATTTTTGAAGACTTTGGGAAACCATGCTTCGCAAGACGAAAAAAATCGCAAGACGAAAAAACTTGCAGAACGAATTAATTTCGTCTTGCGAGGCACCACTGTAGATGGCTGGGAGGAGTTTTTGACCAAGCTGGAAATCAGAATATACATATAGGCAAAGTCTTGTTGAGGCATTTGTTATTGTCAGGGAATAGGCTACTCTCAAATCTTTCTCTTCACTTCCCCCAGAGATTATTTGTTATGGGATTACGGTGTTGATTCACAGCCTCTTCTTCTTAAAGTCTCATTTTATGGCTCCTTTACTTTACAAATTTATAAACATTTCTGCAGACTTGGGTGTTGGTTTCCTGAGTAACTGTTATTGTCTTCCAGAAAACCTCCTTCGTGTGTTCATTTGTTCTCTCGCTCTCTGTAAGCAATAAGTAAGAGAACAATGGTGTTTTGTGGACATCGCTGTTGCGGATAATAAGCAATAGTAGTACTCACATTCTTTGCGAAGGGGAAAATGAGCTGCCGGTTTGGTTATATGGTTTCATCTTGGGAAACTGATATTAAAGGCATCATTTTGCTCCAGTAGCTTGTTTTCTTGCCTGCAGTACAGCTGCTTTGCCACAGCAGATATCTAAGCCAAGGCATTAATGGCATCAGTTTTCTTAGCCATATCTGCACCCTGGGTTGATGCTACTTTCTGTAATATTTCCTATACTGTAAAAGGGATTTTGGAGCCTTTGTGTTCTTCTTATCATGGTGCTGAGGGCTTGTGGGCTTCTTAATTGTTAGCCTTCTGGTCTAAAGCCATGGAGCAATTATGTTAAAAATGAATTGCAAAATGCACCAAGCCATCTTGGTGTTGACTGGTGTGACTAAGCTATTTGATGCCAAGTTGAAACAGAACAGCAAGTGTGGGCACATCCTAGGCCAGTCCTCCAATTACCCCAGGGGCACACAATTGACCCTTCGGCATTGACTGGCATCAGCTCTCTGCACTTCAACATTTGCTCCCTGCCCTGAAGTTCAAGAAGCAACATTCATGCAAGAGAGGTATAGAAAATGTGGTGTGTGGATTTTTGCAGAATGATAATTTGGGAATCCTTGATTTGAAGTGTACCTCACCCCCAAATCCCCCTGCTTACCCATTCAGAATGCGGGGGGGGGGGGGGAGAAGAAGAAGAAGAAGAAGAAGAAGATTTATATTAGATTTATACACCACTCTTCATTAAAAATATATCAGGGTGGTTCACAAGATAAAAACACGAGATAAAAGCACAAATAGTAAAAACAGAAACAACAAAACAATAACACCCCCCTCCAAAAAGATATTTAAAAGGCTGTGCACCATTATTATCCCAGCTACAAGTTCTATTCATTCATTCATTCATTCATTTAAACATGCAGGTATTTTATTTATCTTATTTGTTTATTTGTTTATTTATTAAATTTCTATACTGCCTTTCATCCGAGAATCACAGGGCTGTTTACAATATAAATACAAAACAAACAAACAGAACATCGAAACGGACAAAATTACTAGTTTTCAAAATACTGTATATCGTGTTTTTAGTTTGCAGTTCCCAAGGGAGTTCTGTGTGGTCACGTTCTGACCACATTTTGCTTTACAAGGTTTGAGGCAGATCATTGCTAGAACCATTAACATGCTGCAGAGGGGGAAGCTGCAGTGGGGAGAGAGAGAGAAAGTGCAGCCTGTCCAAAGGCAGCCAATGCAATTTGTGACTGAGCAGGGATTTGAACGTTTGCTCCTTCTGCTGACGCCCAGCACTGCTGGCATCTGTGCTCCGCTGGGCTGTGACAGGCGGTGGGTGTTTCTGTGCATGTCATTAACTGGAAGAGTCTGAAAAGCAAGAAACGTTTGTGCTTATCTCACTTGTGTAATTTATGGAGCAGGTTCAGTGCAATTAGAACAAACAAGTCCTTTGGCACCTTGCAAATTTCCATGGCTCACCCATAAACTTTAGGGCGAGTTTCAGTTTATGCTGCTGCTGGCATTTAATTTTCATGGCTTTTCTGATGGACAGACGCTCAAGAGGGGAAGCTCAATTTATGCCTGTTCTGTTCCTCTTAAACAGAATGAGTGCTGCCTCTTTCCACAGTGTGTCTGCAGCCTTGCAGCCACATCTCGTTCACCTTTATTTTAAAGTGTGTGGTTTCTCAGGCACGCTTGGTACCACTTTTGATTTGAGCAGTGTTATTTCAGTCATGGATTGTATTACAGGTAGACGAAACCCTTAGCCTTGGAGTAAATGAAGCCGAGAGAGTGAGGGCTGTTTTTGTTTTGAGGTGACACCGGAATACTGAAGATCCTTTTCTGTACATCCGCTGTTAATTGGAGACTTGTTTTGTTTTCTTCACTCAGTAAAGAAGTTGGGCTACATGTCACCCAAACACTGCTGCTGTAGTACATCCCGTCTCCTCTCTCACACACACTCACACATGCCCTTAGACTTGCTCGCACACACAGGCTCCGGTTTTGAGATGCTGCCCAGGATTTGAAATAAAATACCTCCTCCCTCATATTTCCCCACTTCAAAATATTGCCTTTTCCAGTGCCACTGATTTTTTAGCTTGTTCTGGACTCAGAGCATGATTTCCTGCTTCCCTTCTTACCCAGAAGTAACAGATTCCAGCCTTTCTGGATTTTTGAACCAGAAGGAAACACAGAGAGCCCATTCCACAGAGTCCCATTCCACAGAGCTGACTCAGAAGGGTGCCATTGCCAATGAGAGCAAAAAGGCACAGAGAGAGCAAGAAGCAGGAACAAGGTTGCACTCCCCATTTCCTGCTGTCTGTACAAGTCACCCATTAGGATGACCAAGGCCAACGCAGTCCCATGGCCAGGCCTGAATCCAGATTGGAATGGGTCCAGATAACTCCCAACCCACTCTTTAGCAGGCTTTTCTTCCTTTGTCTGGTACTTTACAGGGCTAGTTCTGCTTTACTGCACCCTGCAGTCAAGGGAAGGTATGCTTCTTATACCTTCTTATACAGACAGCTTTCCAGGTCATGTGGCCAGCAGGACTAAACTGCTACTGGTGACGGAAACCAGAGCACACAGAAACGCCGTTTACCTTCCCACCGGAGCGGTACCTATTTATCTACTTGCACTGGTGTGCTTTTGAACAGATGTGCTCTGCATACTGAAAGGTTCAGATGGCTTTTTAGAACCCCTGCTGGTGCATATACAGGGTAGGAACGTCTCTGTTTTATGGCTGTCTACTTTTTAAAAAAATTAAATGCAGTAGAAGTTCTCATCTAAACACTCCACCAGGATTTTAGATGCAGATGATTTTGTGGAAAGCAATATATTACAATTATCGGTCTTTTGGCAGCTATAGTCTATTACCGTTGCTGCTTCATTAAAGGTCTTAGTTGGTTGTACATATTCTTGCATTTATGTAACTGACTGTAATGTGCAAGCAGCTCAATGATGTATACAGAGACTGTGCTTATTTAGTTTTCCTTTCTCCCTCTGCCCCCAGTAGCTGAAGCTGTTCATTTCCTTATAATTCGACTGAGGACTTTCCAGTTCTTAGAACCACTTGCTAAATAAGAGGAGGGCTCTTAAGAATTTTACTTCCCCCAATGCCCCTCACCTCTACAGCCTAGCTGAAGCAATCAGTAGGATGAAGTGACAGAACAAGAAGCTGATATCAAGCTCATGCATCCCCTCCCTGCTCCCTTTGCCATCCCGCTGGGTTTTGTGGGAAGAGTTACAGCCCTGAGCCCCAAATCCAACTCCCAATCTTGCTACTAGATGTAGCCTTCAGTTAGGGAATCAGATTAATCAGTTTAAATTCATTTTTAATTTATCTCCGGTTAATTGTGCAACACATTTTTAAATTGCAACTGCATATGTAAACTACAGGTGGCAGTTTATTATTATGCCAGTCTATAAGAGACATTCACACACCAGGCATGTCTCTCTCCTTTCTGAGATGGCAGCTGCCGTAACATAGTCATGCACCATCTGAAACAGAAAGAGCATGCTTTTTGACAAAGGGAAATATATACATTTTATAAATAAATAAAAGGAAGAGGACCCAAAATGCCTATAGGTTTTGCTGGATATTGGGTCCATGAGAAAGACTCCCAGAGTCACCGTCATCATCTTCATCATCTTGCAACCTCCTTCTAGCCTTTAAGACCATGAGTCCTCTCTGTCCAGGACTTCACAGTATCGTCTGCAGGAACAAAGATGACAAGAAACATGATCAAAGGCTCCCCCTTCTAGCATTGCCTGTTTGGGAAAGTCTATGCTTTTTTTCTGAATGACTGGCTGGACAGCTCCCCTGTGGTTCCTGTGTGATCCACGCTCCTGCTGGACAGCTCCTTTCCAGATTTCAGACTCTGGCCTGCACAATTTGGTGGACCTGAGTGGATGAACCAGTGAAATTGAAACATGAATCATAGAGATTGTTTCTCTGCAGAACTCTGACAAGCCTTCCATGTGTGTTTTTAACAAGGACTAATTTATTTACTGACTCAACCTCACAAAGAGAAACGTTCACAAATTTACAAATTGTGCTTATATTTTATTCAAAAGTGGCTTACAACAGCTTTGATTTTCTTATTGCCCATTTAGTATTGGAAATATTCCCCCCTGCATATATCGGAGGAGGGCAAATCTGAAGTTTCTGGGTGCTGGCTGCTCAGAATGTCAAAATGCAATAACTGGTACCCCTAACTGCATGGATACATACTGGCTTCTAGACCTAGCAAACAGGAATAACCTGTTCTTTTCAAGCAACAGAAAAGATCTCCAGTAAAAGCCAGTCTGTCAGGTTTCAGCCAGAAACACAAGTCCAAAAGAGAGCAGGGTTAAGTTCCAGAGCAGCAAACATATAGGTGGGGGGGGGGAGAGCAGAGGTCAAGACCCAAGGCAACATTCGGGGAGAAGAGGCAGGATGCTCAAACTGACAAAGAAGTTACAAAGCTGTATAGCAGGGGTTGCCAATCCAGCACCCACGGTGCTGCCTCTGGAAAGTGCCCTGGACTTTGGGCATTCATCAGAAAATTAAATCTCTATCCCTCCTAGAAAGAAAGTTATGGCACAAAATGTGCAAGTAACTTTTTTCAAACTTGTAGGTACTTTGAATGCTCATTGTTCCATGCTAAAAAGTATTGGAGCTAATGCAGTTAGTGATTTTGATCTGATAGTGATTCATTGAGAAACAAGCCTCTAAGACTGATATTTTTAGAATAGGAAGGGTGGTTGTGTGGGAGGAAGCCACATTACTTGCAGTGTGTCTGCTGCTGCATCTGTAAAATAAAATCTTTATTAGTGTCCAGCCTGAATAGTTCCTGGTGTGATAAAACCAACAGCTTTGTCCCCGGAGCCTGCTAAATTAACAATGAGAGCAGACCCGGACATTTGATTTGCATTTGTTTTGAGGAGCTACTGAAGGGCATGAAGTCTTACGATCCAAACAGAGGCCAAATTGAAATACAATTTTAATCTGGATCACTGAGCCTGACTTCTTATGGGGGTTGGAGTTCTTAGTGTGAACCAGTAGTATTTAAAAACTGCAAAATTAACAGAGCACGGAAACTTCTTTGAGGCATTGGCAGATATTAATAATATGCATTAACTTGCATATTTATTGTGTGAGCCTGAAGGGAAAGCTTGTGATGGCACATCCACGGTTGGTAGCAATAGATAGCGAGGCTCGTTTTTCTTTTTCTTACGTACTTTACATGGCATCCCTGATGGTGCATATAAATTCAGCTTCCTTGTCATTTTTGCCCATATTTCCTGATCACCTTGTCTGATCCTAAACCCATTTGTACTTTTAAGGGAGTGTGGAATTCCTCATTCCTTGAGTGCAAGAGCCAGCTGGAACCCCAAGCGGAATACTGCAGTGTCTAAAATTAGGTTATGTATCAGCCTGGTGCCCTCCAGCTGTTTTTTCAGTTACAACTCCCATCAGCCCATGCTGGTTGGAGTACCCAAACAGGCTGAGGTAGGGATGGACAAATCCATCAGTTTGAGTTGCTCATTATCCCAGTTTTAAATTCAGGCTTCCACATAAGTTTTCGATTTAGAACAAAACAAAGCAAAAAGTTCCTATTGAAATTGGTTAGCATTGCCTTGTTCATTTCTCCTTATGTGCACCTGTTGATGTACACTTTCCCCTGATGTTTGTATGTTTGTATGCATTGCTTAGTTGAAGCACTGCATTGAAATTCTGGAGAAATATGAATTTAGGGCAGAGTCTCCATTTCAGTTTTTGTACTACTGTTTTGAATTAGGTATGTTTGCATGTAAATGTGAACTGTCCCCAATACCTCCTCCTCTCATCCCAAGGTTATTCCTCACACCATTCAAAGCTGCTACTTCACAGTACTCTCCATCAAACTGGCACTGCCTCATAGGAGGGCATTCTTAAAATCATCATAGGCCCTGTCATGCCCACTTCTTTCCCCGATTTGCCACTTTGGTTTACCTTTGCTCAGTATGGAAAGGCTGAAATTAAGGAACAGCCATTTGCAGTGGAAACAGATGACGCCTTCATTACCACCATTTCCACCACTGTGGAAATTCACAACAATGGAGTCTGTCTTCACATTCCTAATAGCATGTAAACAACAACAAAGACCTTTATGGCATTTTAAAGGTCAACAATTTGTCTTGGAACAAGTTTTCATGGACTAGAGTCTACCTAATCAGATGTGTTATCCTCAAATGGCAGGAATATACAAACACGGATATAAAGGAAAATATATATACACAAGGATCGAATAGCAATTAAATGCAAAAGGTACAGCCTGTGACGATTCAATTAAAGCTTGAATGTATGCATAAAACTGGATTTAGTAGCTGTCAAGCTCTGGAGAGCCAGAGGTTTGGATTATGGGCACTGAGTAGTTAAAACAAAGTGGCTTGTATTAAACCCTGAGAACCACAGCTGGGCAATACGGTATCTGATGATATATGTTTTGAGATGTCTCTGGTCACACTGCCTTTCTAAATATATTGATTTCTGGTCAGAGAAACGGGTGTGTTCATTTTAGTCTGCTTCAGCATGTGTAGCAGGAAGCAAAAGTCAGATGCAGCAGTGCACTCTCAGAGGCCTTTAAAAAGAGCTAATAAAACCACTTGTTGGGGACTTGGATTTGGCTTGAGGACTTGGCTGGGACCTCAAGTAATGAACTGCATAGGGCAGTATGTATGTAGGCCTTGGATCCCTCTGCAGGCATAGAAGGAAAAGACTTATGAAATGTTGGCCTCTGTGATTGGCAGACAATATATATATGTAGTTGCAGCTATCAAGTGTGTGTGTGCGTGAGAGAGAGAGAGAAAGAGAGAGTGTGCATGTGCATATATGTGTCCATCTTTAAGCCCTATGTTACCTAGAGGAACCTGAATGAAATGCCCCCTGGATAAATTTACCCAAGGTCTCATTTTTCAGATGTTCCTTTTGACAAAGTTATTTATTCCCTTACTAGAAAATATAATGGAAAATAAAATTAGGAGGTTAAAGTGGGAGTCAGAAGTAAAGTGCTGAGAATGTGTTTTTGTTTTATAAAGTTTTTAATATTTTCTTTAAGTGCAAAACTTGGTCTAGACTTAGTAATGGAGTCAGTAGGATTCCTTCATAATGCAAGTCTCAAAGGGCTGGGAAAATAGATTGCAGCAAGGACCTGCTTGCCTCTCTAAGCAGTCTGACCTAAACTTTACATATTTTTATGATCTCCGTACTTCTCCAAGCGGTGAGAAGTTCCAGGCATGCAGCATTTCTCCTGTTTTGGTTTTCCTTTGGTTTCCTTGGGAGGAGGTCTTTGGAGCCTTGTGGCCTGTTGTAATATTTGAGTTCAGGTGGAGGCAAAGCTTAAATACTTCCACAGGCAGCCAAAACTACTGCTCCACATCAGATCTCCAGAAGTAGTCAGCACCCCAAAATGTTGCTAGCTTACAGAACCCCAAAACCTAGCTCTTTGTCTCACTCCAAAACAGTGGTCTGCCCTTTTGTTCCCTATCACTGATATCTAGGGGACGGGAAAGGTCTGTTTTTGCCTATTCAGAAAGTTTAAGCATGAGACCTGGCTTCCTAGAGAAATCACCTAACCATTGGCTCCTGTAGGAACACATCATCTGACTATCAGAGGCTAGTCACATTCCTTTGTCAAGTCCAAGACTCTGGCCAGCCATTTCCCTATGACAGCTCACAGTGGTTCTCCTAATCATAGAAATTTGGTAGGAAACCTCACATTGGATTGAAGAGTAAAATCTTTGACTAATAGTTCTTGCAGTCTAGAGTGTTTTGAGAACTCAGTAGACATTGGTTTAGTTCAGTCAGTGTTTTGGAGGATCCATTCCCCCCCCCCCCATGTAGGTTCTCGCACTCCTTTCCTGTTTCCCTTCCACAGTTGTCTTCCCTTTCTTTTCTTCCTATTTAGTGCTGAGCATAGTTTGCCATGATATCCTAATCTGCAAATTACGACTAATAGGTGTTTCCCAGTAAGCTACAATCAAGGAGGGCAGGTAAAGGTAAAGGTAAAGTAACTGACCATTAGGTCCAGTCGTGACCGACTCTGGGGTTGTGGCGCTCATCTCACTTTATTGGCCAAGGGAGCCGGCGTACAGCATCCGGGTCATTTGGCCAGCATGACTAAGCCGCTTCTGGCGAACCAGAGCAGTGCACGGAAATGCCATTTACCTTCCCGCCTGAGCGGCACCTATTTATCTCCTTGCACTTTGATGTGCTTTCGAACTGCTAGGTTGGCAGGAGCAGGGACTGAGCAACGGGAGCTCACCCCATCGCAGGGATTCGAACCGCCAACCTTCTGATTGGCAAGTCCTAGGCTCTGTGGTTTAACCCACAGCACCACCTGCGTCCCATTAAAAACACAATAAAACATCAAACATTAAAAACTTCCCTAAACAGGGCTGCCTTCAGATGTCTTCTAAAAGTCAGATAGTTGTTTATTTTCTTGACATCTGGTGTGAGGGGATTCAACAGGGCGGGCACCACTACCAAGAAGGCCCTCTGCCTGAGATAGACATGTTCCCATTCATGTATGTTGTATTAAACATAACTCTAGGTAGGAAGGAACCAGGAAGCATTGAAGAAATGGAGCTTAGCAACAGAGAACGTGAGCGATGAGTGGGGTGACCAGTCCCCCCATTGCTAGGCAAGGTGGTGTAGTTCTAGGACTATTCCAGTTCAACACTAAGAAGCAGTCACACTCATTCCTATCTCCTTGATGACTATACCAGCATATTCCTGTTTGCAGACACCTTAGTTGTTTAACATTTTTAGATAACGCTTGAAAATATCAGGCATGCAGCTGAAATCAGAAGAAGGCACTATGACCATTGAAGGAAGAGTGGGGTATCAGTGTGAGAATTGATTTTGCCCCCTGAACGTTCAAGTGCATAGTTTTGGAGCCATAGTACAGAGCATCTTGCAGCCTTCGTCCTTTTCCCTTCCCTTCCCTTCCCTGCCTCTGTATTTGGCCAGGTGGCAGGGGCAGAGTTTAGGAGTGGCTGTGTCAAAGCTCTAGGTCTGGTGCTTGCACAACTAGTTATTTCTTTACAGCTGAGACACACACACACAGAGAGAGAGAGAGAGAGAGAGAGAGAGAGAGAGAGAGCGCGAGCGAGCACCCTTCAAACTGCATGTCCCCAGCTGGTTTTCTCTGACTGTGCTCATGTCTTCATGTTTTGCCTCTTCCCACCCCCTGCTGCTCAGCGAGTCTCAAGTCGCATTTTTGATAGAGCGCTGTTCTCTCAGCAGCCGTCCCGCACCCTTGCACACACAATCAAAAATAACAATGGAGCTCATCGGTGGAACTGGCCAGGCGTGGAGAGATTGATTAGCGATTGCGGGCTTCTATTAAGTCCTCATTCTTGTTAATTACACATTATTTTATATTTATATTTCGTTTTCAATTTTCTTGTACTGTTTCCAAAGATTTAGTTTCTGCTCAGCTCCAGGAGGCACATGCCATTTGTGTGCGAGCAAAATGCCTTTCTGCCAAATGAGCTGCATCAGATTTTGCGGGAAAGGTCAGACGGGGGTGGGGGGGAGTGAGAGGGTGCCTTAATCAGTTGCTCCCAAGCAGGATCCTGTCTGCCAAACATCCTGCTGTGGAGAGGAGGTCAGAGTCCTGCATTCTGGCCCCCTCACTGCCTGCTTTGTTCAGTTGCTACCCAGGTCTTCATCTCCTCCAAGCCATTGTCTGCTTGATCTCCCGCTGCAGTTTCTGTCCTGATGCATGTCTTATGTTTGTTTCTTTTTCTTTTGCTAAACAATTTCCTTACCTCCTGGTGGAATCTTAAGTGGATTTTTTCCTCTTTTTAAATTAGTCTGATCTCCTAAAGAATAGCTTAATCTAAAAGAAAACCCAACAGAAAGATAATCCTTTTATCACAGAGCCCCAGAGGAATAAGAACTGAACAAGATATCTGTTCAGTGTTAACTTTAAAAAATAGGCATAAGACCTGCTTGCAACTCCAGTTATTTTGAAACTATCAAAACGTTGCCATAAGTTACTTTGGGGTGCAAGGAAAATTGACATGGGTGTCATTGTGATTGCTATGGAACTGGTTTTTTTTGTTTTATTTGGTGGAGGAGAATTCAGTTCTCTGGGGCTTTTTGCTTAGCTCGTGTTTCAAACCAAATACTTACCAGGTTTTTAAATGCACACACATCAGATAGGTTGTATAAGGGTTACAGTTTGAAATAATGGAGAACCCTTAACCACCATAAACTCTCCTTTGTGCATAAATGTAATTTTTTTCTCTTCCTATGATGGTCTGGTAGCTGATAAAATAGAGTGGATAGTTGAAATAGCACTTTAAAAGAAAAACAATTCATTATTTTAAGGACAGAAATGCAGAATATGAGTCTGTTGCTTAAATAAATATATAGCAGCATCTTTCTGTGAGCAGGTAGTCCATTTCATCTCACTGTAAAACAGGTGGGAAATCTGTGGGCGTTCAGTGGGTCTGGTGGGAGCTTCAATCCAACAACATTGCTGGTGGCTTCCCATACATACTGCAAATTTTCTCTTAAGTTTGAAATCAGAAGGTAATCTTTACCTGCAAAGGGACAAAACAGAGCAAGTCAGACAGAGGCACAGGCACTCTCATATAAAGTACCTGTAATGGATGCTAGATAGTTTTAGAGTTTCTCAAGAAGCATCTTCTATGAGCCTCCCTCTTCACAGATCCATCCCTGTATGCTTTCAGCAATTGCCTGCAAATGCTGCAATTTTCCTGTTTGCAAGTAGAAACTCTAGTCGTGATCCACCTTGACTAAAGGCCTTCTGCTGCTTTGTCCAGCATCTGTCTCTCTCATCCCTGCCATCATAGTAATTAACCTAATTATAAGCCTGCTGCTGCTCTTCCCAAGTCAGGGCTTTTGTTCCCCTTCATCTCTTTTTTCCCCATTCTCATTAAAACATCATTATTTAATTTGAATTGGCTGCTGTAGAGAGAAGGAGCCATTCTTATTGAAGATTGTGGCAGATGGCCCTTACACTCTTGTCAGGGATGGGATGGGGAAGATGGTTAATGCACCATTGTGCCAGTATGTGCAGGCAGGCAAAGCAATTGGATCAGAGGTGAGCAAATGAGGGCCACTCGATGCCCCACTTGCTTTGCCCAAGGAATTCCAAGAGCCCCATTCAAGCTGAACCAGGAGGCTAATGCATCTGCTTTGTAAGCATGCCAAAGAGGGCAAAACCTTCTTTCTTTGCTTACAATTCAGGTGCCTCCTGAGATGTCAGGCTCAGCATGTAAGCAGCCTGGGAAGCCATAGAAATCTGGGTTGGTGGAGTCACCCTGGTGCCGGGTTGTGGGGAGATGATCTCATAGCCCTAGGAGTCTTTTAAGTCTGTAATGTAAACCACAAGAAGCAGCGTAGCGTAGAACCAAAGGATCCAGGTTATTAACACTGATGGTTTCCAACATTTATACACTTTTAAATGCTGCTGCAGTGCATGTTCTCCTTTGATTTCAAGTTGTCACTTCTTTATTGGGAGCCAGTGAATGGTGAGGATGTTTGGAAGCACATCACAGAGTTTTATCAGTCTGAGCTTGCTTGTACTGCTTTTTCATGATCCATGCCTTGACCAAGTGGGGTGAGGAGGGAAGGGCTTAGTCACAATGCACCATTGATCCATGTATAATGTGCCATATCAATTGCAGTGTATGGATTTGCAAATCCTCGTATCTTTGGTGAGAAGCTGCATATATATTACATGCGCTCAGAAGGCGGACACCAAAGAGAAAAGCTTTCATCAGAACTTGAGGACATGGGTGTTGCTTGCTCTAAAAAAGGTTTTACTGGAAGGTTTTATTGGAAAGGAATCTCCACCCCCACCAGTCTTTCTAATGCTTTGTTATTGAAAGAATGTTAATAAACCGCAGAGGTGGCACCTCCCAGTTAAAAGCAAGATAAACACAACAACAACCACAACAACCACAACCACAAATTCTAGGAATAATGCAATGAATGCAATTCAAAGAATGCAACCTCATGTAAATGGAAATCTTTTTGGATAGTGACCTCATGGTCTTCGTTGTGAAATTGTATAGGGAAAACAGACAAAAGGAGTGGACACACTCATGGAGGATAAAGCTATCAGTAGCTGCTACCATGTTACCAGATTTTTTCCCATGAATCCGGGGACACTTTTCAACTTCAATGGATTTTGTATGGGGGCTGATTTGTAAATCTAAGGACTGTCCCCGGGAAACGTGGATATTTGGTAACCTTATGCTAGCCACAATATCTATGCACTAGCTCTGAATGTCACTTGCTGGGAAACACAAGTGGAGAAAGTGATATTGCAGTCAGGTCCTGTTTATGGGCTTCCCATAGGAATGAAGCTGGTTGGGCATTTGGACTATCCAGCTGGGCTGCTCTTAGGTTTTTAAGACCAGCGGCAGAGCGTATGCCCCTGCTGCTCCGGGTGCGTGTGCCTGCAAGGGGGGTGGAGGGCGTCTCCCATGCGCCATATTTCAGGGTAAGAGAGGGGCGGGGAAGCTGCTTCCCGCTCTCATCCTGCTCTTCTATGGATCTACAGATGAAGAGTGATATAAGAATTTAATAAATTAAAAAATATGGTGTGAACTGCCCCAAGATATGCAAATTTAATAATAATAATAATAATAATAATAATAATAATAATAATAATTATTATTATTAATAAACTTCACCACTTATGGTGCTGGAGTTCAGGAATGGGGTTCTCTGGCTCTTTGGTCCTGTGCTCTGCTCTGAAACTGATCTTGAGAAGTAGCTTTTCCCCAACCTGGTGCCCTTCAGATGTTGTTGGACTATGACTCCCATTGGTCCAATCCAGCATTGGCGCTGGTCAGGGATGAGCAGAGTTGCAGTCCAAAACATCTGGAAGTCATTGGTTTGGGAAATGCAATAACTATATCTGATCTCAGCTAAGATAACAACCTGATAAATGTTTCCTCTTTTCTGCATTGAGAACTGGGCAACTTTTCATCTCCTTTAAAAATAAAAAAGTTTTTGGTCCATAAAACGTTTGTTGTTCACAGCATGACCCCAGCCATGCATCACAGAGTGGATGCAGATTCGTGCAATCAACATTTCTTTAATGGCATAATAACACAAAGCCCACACTGGGCTGAGGGAGCATGATGTATCTGCCTGTTGCCCTCTCTCGGAAAAAGGCAAGCAGACCTTGTCATTTCTTCTGTCAGAGAAGTATTTAATCATGTTGCAGTGGGAAAGGAAGAGGAGATGTCCTTGGGTTTTTTGGCAGGATAGTCAAATAAGTCCAACAATGCTACTCTTTGCTTAAATGCATTAGAGAGATGATAGTTTGATGCTGGGACAGAGAAAGACCTGATGAAAGGGCCACTTTGTAACAGGGAAAGATGAACAGAATGGAAACGGGGTAATAGACTGTGGTGGATCTATAATCTCTGAGGTCGCTGTAAGCAGTAAATTCCTAAATAGTGTCCTTTCAGCCTTAACCTATTTATTTGTAAAATGCTAAATTTAATTTTGCCTTACTCTGCAGGAAGGCAGCAGCCCAGGAACAAAATCATGGGCGAAGCCAGGAGGCTGTGCCAAGGCATTCATTCAAACATTTACATTTTCTCCTGCATCTTCCCCCAGGTTATATTGCCCTTCTCTGAGTTAAGTCTTGGGAGAGCACATATCTTTGGAATTACTTATCTGGGTGTGCGTGAGTACATGTGTGTATCATGAGAATGAAGCATTGTCCTCACATTTCAGCCTTCCCAACCTGGTGTTCTCCAGATGTTTGTGCACTCCAACTCCCATCCACCTCATGCAGAATGGCCAACAGTCAGGGATGAGGGAAGGTGCCTGGGCGCAGGGCGCAGGTTGGGGAATTCTGTTGCAGGAGGCCTGTAAGCCGTGAGAGCTGCTTGTCTGCTGCCGCTGCCATGAGGTGCTGAGCAGTGTCAGGCAATATAAAACAAGCAGAGCAGTGTGCCTATAGCAATGGAAGGTCAGGCTGACAGGGAGAAGAATGGGGGAGCCATTTCTTGGGGCCAGCTCTGGCTGCTGGATGCTTTAAAGCAGCAACTTAGCTCGGATGTAAAAGGTGCACAAATAAAAAAGTTAATAGTCATACTACAACCTGAATCAGATTGTAACCATGGTGCTGGGTGAGAGAGGGGGGGATTTAACCCTTTCCTTGTATATGTTTCTCCCCCCCTCCCAAATAAGCTGCTTTTTGCCAAATATGCTAGTGTTTCAGGGTACCTGTATGTTTTGTCCTGCAAAGCAAATAATAGAAATGGTTATAACTGAGAAAACAGCATTGACTGGTGGTAGCTAATTTTCTAGTGGGAAAATAGAACCTGCTGTTGACACTTGGCAGGGATATTGCTTTTGTTTGTAATTATGGTATGTATTTTTGTGTTTTTAGATTGTAAACCACCCTTTGCTCTTTGGATAAAGGGTGGTATAGAAATTTAATAAATAAAGATACATCATAATCCTTGCTACACCACAGAGAAATAAAATCAACGAAGATAACAACCCTCAGTAGACGTGAGAAAACAGTGTTGCTCTCCATTCCCATATAAACTGTCACAGCATTTCACGAAGTCCTAAACGAAGGTCTTGTTGACCTGAATATCTGTGGTTTACGGGATTTGTGAACAAGAAGCTCTGGGACAGGATTTCCTTCTAGGCCAAGCGCTCAACTTTGTGCAGTATTGGAGGCAATCGGGATTCTGTCTCTTGTAACCAAGTGGCAATAAGGGAGAAGCAGTAACTGCAGCAATGTAAAGTCAACACTGAAAAGCAACCCACCCCTGCAAAGTTTTTTGCTCTGAGTTTAATCTTTGTGAGAGAAGACTGCACAAGCGAGCACCAAAATGGGTTACACTCCAGTGCCTGTGTACAACACCCCCTCTCTCCAACTATAAAATGGCAAATACAACTTGCTTGAGCTCCTTATATACTGTAGGGATTGAAATTTTAATCACTGAATTAATTTTTCAGGAACCAGAGTGCAAATTTGTAGCAGTATTAATAATGAATATGGGGAATGAGAGGAGGAGAAGGGGCAGGGAAATAAGGTTTGGGGATCAGGCGTAGGATTTTCTTACTTCAAACTTGCAACAAATGCCTACATTTAGAGTCTTCAGTGAAATCAGTGTATCCGTCTCACACCTTATTCCTTAAGTAAGTGTTTCTCTCCAGGGTATTATTGGTTGTTCCTTCTCTTCCCACTGACCCAAGCTTTCCCAGACTGAATCAGGTGCCCTTCACCACCTCATGAATCTGGAATAGCTCGGTTGGTAGAGCATGAGATTCTTAACCTAAGGGTCATGGGTTCAAGCCCCACACTGGGCAAAAGATTCCTGCATTGCAGGGGGTTGGACTAGCTGACTCTCATGGTCCCTTTCAACTACAATTCTATTTGGTCGCATTTGGCATATATTGTAATGTTTCTCTTACGTAAGCACAGCCATATTCTGTGATGTCTCATTGGTTCTTGTGTCCCGTCCCCCGCAATTCCCATCCCTTAGCAACAATATCTTGTATTACTGTTCATCCTACAACATCTAGATTTCCCTGAAGGGTTTATGACATTGCATTTCTTTATGGTGTCAACGGTGCATTGCCAGGAACACCATGTGTCTTTGATAAGCTTGAGCAGTCACATATGCCTTCCCAACTGTCCCTCAGGTTAAAAATGAAGAAAGGGTAGCCCCGGCATGGCCACAGCTTGTATCATGGTGGAACCAAACCTTGTCTGTTGCTTCAGGGCAATTGCAAAATACACATCTGATAACTTGAGTCGTATGTGCTGCAAGCATGTTTGATGGTCCGCCAACTTAAGAGAGACAAAAATCAGTACTTCGTCACACAATGCATGATTAACTTACAGAATTAATTGCCTGGAGATGCTGTGATGGTCAGTTGCTTAGATAATAATGGGGGAATTAGATAAATTCCTCAAGGGAAGGTCTAGACACAGCCACGATAGTTAAATGATCTTCAAAGGCTGCATAGTTCAGAATATCAGCTGTGAGGGGAGCAACAGTGAGAGAGGGTTGTTTCCCCTAAGTCAGTGATGGCCAAACTTGGGTCTCCAGCTGTTTTGGGACTACAACTCCCATCATCCCTAGCTAACAGGACCAGTGGTCAGGGAATGATGGGAATTGTGGTCCCAAAACAGCTGGAGACCCAAGTTTGGCCATCACTGTCCTAAGTCCTTCTTGTGAGCTTCCTAGAAACATAAGGCTTCTGCTATGTTCTTACACAGTGGTTCCCATCAGCACTATGAGGGCCAGAAGTGCCAGTCCCCAAAGGATTAGGATGGAAGTAGATGCCTTGCTGGGGCAGATCTCCTGGAGGCAGAGTCCATAGCAGGGTAGGGTTGGAAGTCAAGAAGTCCAGTTGTGGAGCTGCTGTAAGAGACTTGTATGATCATTTAGATCATCTGGGGAAAATTTTACTCATTGCTCTGCACCCAACAGAAAATCACAGGGAGATGGCCCCTAAATGGGCATTTTCTGCCATTGTCCCTACATACTGGAATGTCCTTCCCACCACCAAGCAGAGTTGATTTAGATCCTTTATAAAGCCTTATATATTTTGCCCATTCTTCCCTGGCCCATAAAAATGGCCCCTGTTATTACCGAATTTATGTCTCTGTGATACTCTGAGATTGTTTTTATGTTGCATTTTTTTGTATTCAGCTTAGAGATAACTATTCAGCGGTTTAGAAATGCTTTTCAATAAATGAAAGAGGATTCTGGCAGTCAGAAGCGCAGGCAAAAAGATAGTGTAGTGAGCGGACTGTGGTGGGATCAGTTAGAGGAGGAGCAGGCAAGATGATGGATGAAGTCACCTTGAGCATGCTTGGAGAGCCATGCAAGCGAGGCCAGAATTTGGCTACCTTCCCAGGCCTGGCAAGTATAAGCAGACCAGGTCAAGAGGAACCAATGAGCTGCTGTGGGTGGAGAGAGTGAGGGTAAAGCCATGGGAGGACAGTCCTGTTCCTTCTTCCTTTGCTCAGCAGTCTCAAGAGACTTGTCACAAGCAGGACCAGCATGCAGTGCAGGAGACTCCCAGTCTGTCTCAGCCGGTTCCTACAGTGGCCTCTGTGGCGGTGGCAGCAGCTATACGAAGGCTGTTTTTTCACCCACTGCATCCGATTTGCAGAGGGCTAGTCTTGAACAGCAGCCAAGATTTCACTTCTTTCATCTTAACTGCTGGCTGCTTTTCTGACACTGAAGGTGTGAATTACTTTTTTTTTTTTTTAAGGGCGCTAAAAAGATTATATATTGGCAGATTAATTAGAAATTAAAATTTCCCCTTTTACCAAATCTTGTGAAATCAATGTAGGCAGGAAAGAACTGGGATTTCTCCTGTCAACGCTTTTGCAGGCAATTTGCCTGTGGATAGCTCTCTCATAAATTATGGATACTGTCACACTTTTCCGCAATGCATAGTCTGTGCAGGTGGTCTTATTTTTCCAAGATTTATTAAAAAAAATATTCTGTTAAGCAAAAAAGGTAACGTTTGCCCATTCACTGCAGAATTACAAAGGGAGCAGTCCCATCAGCATGACAGAAAATTATTAACCCCGTCTGAAGCTGATGGAGTCTTTTCATACTGAAGGCCTCAAAAAACCTGAAACCCCTTCCCAAAAAAGTGTTGGGTTCTTCTTTCCTTCCGTCGTCATATAATCCTGCTAGCATGGAGTAAATGGGCCACCACAGATGGGATTGGCATGTTTTGTACTAGTCGGAGGTCTCTTGGCTGCTACACAGATGGCTGAACATGTGGTTCTGTCTAATAGACATTTGCCAGTGGCCAAAATGTAGGTCAGAACCAGGCGTGTGTCATTCAGTGCTGATGAGCACACAGTGGTGGAGATAGCTACAAAAATTGATTGGAACTGCTTTAATCCACTCAGCTAAGGAACCTGCTTCTTTGTGCTGTTGCGTTCATGTTGAAAATGAGGATTTGGCTACTCAGTTAATTCTCGTTTCACTAAGGCCTCGCTCTCTCATACAGCCATAAGGAGGTAAACCACTGATGTAAAAATTGGGGTTTTGCTTTTGCTGCCCAACTCCCCATGGGACTCTGAGTCCCTTAAGTCCATGATCGGTCAGAGAAGAATGGATGGGGGCAGGATCCAGTGGAAAGCAAGGCAGATAGTTATTTTTCTGTTGCAGCAGAGTTCCCTCCCCTCCTTCCAAGGAGGGAGAGTCCCTGAACAAAAGTGTGCAGGAATCTTTAAAGACTTTTGACATTGCCCAACATCCTTAGCCAAATACCACCCCAAAATCATCATACATACATCATAGGATGCGGTCTACAGCAGAAATCCTGTCTGCTGGGATACCTGATAATGGTCACTGATTGTATTACCTGGGCACCTAGCCATTCTTTTGTGATGGTTAATACTTTTAGTTCCTGAGTCTAGGTCACAGGCTCAGCCTATTCATATACAAATATGCCCTTAAGACAGGATTTGCAAGCAAAAAGACCAGTGGGAAGGCTTTCCCCATTTGCCTCCTTTACTGCAGAGGAATATTTGAGGTCATTGGGAGAGCCAAAATGGCTTCAGGATTGCTGTCCCATACTATTTCAGACACATGGTTTATATATTTAGATATGTGTGCCTTTATGAATATTCTATATTTGAGATCTTAAAATTCTTATAACAAAACAAGGTGGGAAGTCACACTAGGCCATAGCAAACAACCATCCAAGATACGCTTGTGTACATTAAAAACTGGTGAGGGGATTCCTTCACCTAACTTTCTCTTTAGCATGCTAAACATCTCTGCATGGGATCTATAGATGGAAGAGCTCTCCATTGTGCCATCTTATCTAGAATAGAGAACATCTCTCTCTATATATAGCTCAATGTGGCATGAATGGGTGAATCCATCTATTTTGATTTCTCCCAATTTCTCAATTTTCAGTTCTTAAGTTCATTTCCACACATTTCCACATTAATTTGTATTTAAAACGAAGACAAGCCCCTATGAAAATTCATTAAATTTTAAAGAACAGCTGGGTTCTCACAGTGTTTAGGAAAGTGTGAATTAGGTTTATTCACCTTTAAAGGGAAACTTAATTGAATTATGATGAGCGAGCAGAACTGTGCTTTGGAGCCTCTTACTGGCAGCGAAGTATTTACAGGTTTTGGATTGGCCACTGTGCACTCCTAGGCAAAAATGTCTATGAAAAGCTTCTCGCTTGGGCTGGGACTTGGCATGAGCAGCAGCGGTGTGTCTTTGTGTTCCTGGGCTCTGATATTTAGTGCGGTTCCTCGCTGTCAGGAACTGCTGGCCACTGCCCCATGAGAGCCAGTGTGGTGTAGTGGTTAAGAGTGGTGGACTCGTAATCTGGGGAACCGGGTTCGCGTCTCCGCTCCTCCACATGCAGCTGCTGGGTGACCTTGGGCTAGTCACACTTCCTTGAAGTCTCTCAGCCCCACTCACCTCACAGAGTGTTTGTTGTGGGGGAGGAAGGGAAAGGAGAATGTTAGCCGCTTTGAGACTCCCTAGGGTAGTGATAAAGCGGGATATCAAATCCAAACTCCTCCTCCTCCTCTTCTTCTTCTTCTTCTTCTTCTTCTTCTTCTTCTTCGCTGTGGCACTGCAGCTTCTTAGGGAAATACCTTCCAGACTGACCCCACCCATGCTGGCCATTGGAAGGAGTATAAAAAAGGGCTTCCTGTTTCAGCGGTACAAAGTCATTGGGAACAGTGCTGCTTCCTGCTAGTTGGGCTGGCGTCCTAATATTCAGAGGTAAAATCCATTGCAGTGACTCACATCGGTCACAAGGCATTCTGAAAAGAAGAGGAGTCCTCCCCACCTCAAAGTGATATTGAATGTGGGCCATTTGGAGTGAGGGGGTCTTGAGAAATGTTGTACACCTTGCTTGGTATGGCACGGCCCAATTACTGCTGCTACCACCTCTCCCCAGCAGTGGTCTTGCAGTTTTGGATGCTTGCAAATGCTTTGATGTGTAATTTAATTTAGCTTTCAGCCATGTAAAAGTCATAGGAGATTCTGACATCTCTTGTTTTAATGGTGATGAGGGCAAATAATGAAAGGTGGGTGAAGGCAAGCTCAGAAATAGCTGAGTGTATGTTTCAGCTTGAGCTGTTTTCACAGCCTTGTGCTGTGGTAATTGAGGGGCTGCAGTTAAGACCTACAAATATGTGCCAGAGGAGAAAAACCTTGCTTTACCTGCGCATAATACTTAGACGTTTGCAAAGACTGCTTCCATCAGTATCAGGAGAAAAGATACTATATACGCTGAAGGCAAGAGATGCTCCTGTAAAGGAAATGAGGACTCTTACTGGCAGTTTTGCAAGATTGTGA